AATCGAGTCGAAACGGGTTCCACAGAGTGGTAGCTTCAGTTTCGGAAACAAGAAAAGTCGCATGGGGCCAAATTCGTTAAATACGGTATTGAACGAGTTTTTGTTCTTAAAATCTTTCGTTATACTTTGAAGCAACATCTTGTTTTTTTTCGATATGCGCGGTTTGGTTCATAATGAATTCGTTCCAATGGGGAAGACGGTCAATAAAGAGTATTGTTTGAGCGTTTCGAGGCGTTTGCGCGAAAATATAATATCTGCCGTAAACGGCTGGATTTGTGGGCCAACAATTTCCGAAAGCTTTCTGGTCTTAATGTAATACGTACATACATATATCCCCGCCTTCTACCTCGCAAACTGCGAGCATATAAAATGTTTGGTTACATCTGAACTTAGCGCTTCCATACTTTTTCCTGATTCAATCAATAGAATTAGGCTTGCGTACGACTGTCTATTAACTTAAATACTTAAACCGTTAAATAAAGCACCACTCATAATCGCAAAGGCTTAAGCAATTTATTGTTTTGCGAATTAACAAGTCTGTTCGAAAACAATTACAATGCATATGTTATATTCTGGTAAGTATTTAAGGAAATTAAGTAAATAGTTAGAAGTACTTATATGTTAGTATACCGATAAAAGCTGAGTGGTTTATAAAAAGCCTCAAACAAATAATATCTATATATACATATGTTTATGTGTACATGTTGGTTGAAAAGTTTCTGTGCTCGATATGAAAAAATACTGTTTTTGTTACGAAATATATATTTTTTATTCAATACAATCTCCCTTAACTTCAATATACTTATTCCAATGATCTTTCAATAATGTTATGCCATCCCTATAACAATTTTCCGGAAGCTCTGCAAAATACCCGTCTACGGCTGTAATAGCTTCTTCATTCGACGAAAACCGTTTTTCACGAACTAATTGTTTCAGTTTTCTGAAGAGATAGTAGTCGCTGGTAGTCAAATTTAGTGTAATCATTGTTAAAACACTTTTGTGAGCAGGTGTGAGTTGTCTTGAAGAAAAATTATATTTTTGTGCTGAAAACCTGATCTTTTCTCACTAATTTATGCATCGAGCTGATGCAAAAGACTGCAATAATAATCAGAATTGATTGTTTTATCTTTCTGCAGATAATAAATCAACGAAATTCCTTTTGCATCGCAAAAAACTGATGCCATAACCTTCTTTGCTGATCGTTGTGACTTCACCTGCTTTGGAGCTGAACAACCAGCTTCAGTCCACTGTAAACGGTGCGTTTTGAAGGTTAAGACCTTTATACACTTTTACCAATTGTTCATAAATTTCCTTTGTTTTTAAGAAACAAAGAATCTAATCATTGCGCGATATTAAATTTTTACCATATTAAAAGAATACTCTGACACAACAACTTCAAATGGCTAACAAAGAATTAATTGACAAAATGGCTTGTAACTTTGCATGTGTATACCATTTTGATAAAAAAAAATTTGGAGCTAGTAGTGCTATTTCTTGGAGAGAGAGCAGAAGCTTTCCAACGAACCTGTGCATGTTCAGTACTACATGCATGCGTCGTTTTCTCCCTGGGAAGCTTCTCATTTTTTGGAACCACCGATATCGGAACACTATAGAATATAGTTGCCATACAAACTGATCGATCAAAATCAAATCCTTGTATGGAAAACCTTTTAATTTGACAAGATATCTCCGCGAATTCAGCACAGATTATTGTCTAAGGGAACGTTACTATCTCCGAACATATTTTTTGGATTGAAGCGATCAATATCAATATAAAGTTTTTTTATACCCTTTTATGCTGAAAAAAATGCGCCTGTGAAGGGTATTATACTATATTCAGAGCTTTTCAAAATATCATATACTTGTACATATATTCAATAAAAATGCCAAAATAATTTAGTAAAATCTAGAAAATACTTTTCAAAGGCTTAAGTATGTATGCCTTTATGTATATACATAATTACACAACTTCAGGTTATATTTCATCTCTTTACTCACAAAAGGTTGGCGCAATGCGCATAAAGAGGTATTTCTATAATTCATTAATGACGTCGCTTTTGTTGAAGTTGTAAACAAAAATCTCTATGGCAAAAAGTCAATTGTTCGGAAGCAAGCTAAATATGAGCACTTAAGGTACTGTGTAGCAAATACTTTAAAAATTAGGTTTTCGAAAGTTAAAATAATATAAAGACGAAGTTAATAATTTTTAAAAGCAAAAAAAATCATAGGATAATCAAACCAATTGGGAAAGAAAGATAAAATTACAAAAATGAAAGGAAAAACAATTTATCGAAAAATTAATTTAATTTGAAAAATTATAACAATCAAGTTTTTGGTTTTTTATTTTACCTTTTACAATTTTTTTTAATGAAATTTCATGTAAATTTAACTTTTTAACACACTATTTTTTTAAATTATAAATATTTGTCTTATTATGACTTAATATTGAATAAAAAACCTAATTGTCAAAAAAAAAAATTTCACGGAAAATCAGATTTTTTATTTGTTATTTTGGTAAGCTTTATATTTAGTGAGGTATTTTTTTGAATTTACTCACAAAGCTTGCCATCGCAAAATATATAATTTTTATACCAACAGGAAGTAGAGATTTCAGCGAACACGATCCAGGAGAATATATCTCTATTGTTTAAGATATCGGCCGTAAAATCTGTAAATTTGTTGTAGAGGTACTAATAGGATTTACTAACATTTAAACTTCGGATTAGCGCTTGATCAATTTCATTAGTTTTAACAATTGCATAACATTTTATGAATTTCTCTTGTTTTAATTGGAGCCGCAGGCGGAATATAGAGTGTTGACAAACTTAAGAGGAGTTTTAAAAACTATTTCATAATGTCGTCCTCTTAAAGTGGCAAAGAAATATTATCGAATTTTTCTCCTAATTATCTCAATATTTCCATTTATACAATTATTATTGTTTATTTTATGGTATTACAAAAAGTCGTTATATGAACAAAACCGTTATATTATCATGTTGGGAGAATATAAAAAATTGTTTTCGAGAAGTAGGCTAGGCAGATAATAAGTTTTAAGGATGTAGATGATTTCTAGCAAGTTGGTATCAGATCTATTGTATTTTAAGTAGTTATATAACTATGATATAAAAAATACACCACAAAATCCAACTCTGAAGTTTTCATTTAATGCGATTAATTACCTATTTCACTTTTGGCTATGATATTTCCAAACGCTCTCCAACGGGTTTCAAACTGTCGTGAGCATTGATGGATAGTTGAACCAAATGACAGGTGTTTATAACTTCTATAGTTACCAGACCATTTACTCAGCATATACATTATACATACTTGTATTTTAAGTTTTCAGTTTGAACCACTGTACTCTTGAATTATTGCATCTAATTCCCGTACCTTTTTATTTGGCTTAAACAAAACCCATTTAGTGATTACCGAAATGGTACTACAAAGTACTATTGGAGTATTAAGAAAGCAACAACAACAGCTTTAAGTTCAAAACCACCGAATTGAATATTCAATGGCAAAAGCAGAGTAATTGAACTCTAAGAAAATGATCTTGAGTTCAGTATACAATATGACTTTGCATTATTGAGTTAAATTTTAAGATACTAGAGGTATAAATGAAATGTCGATTAACGCGTGAGCTTTAGTTTGTTTGGAATATCGCTGAAGCATAAATCATAAATAAAATAATGCGATTGGGAAATTTTTATATTTTGTTTCTAAGTGCGGTTTTATTATCGACGGTCTGCGCCTTCACAGAGGAGCCATTGGAAAATATCGCTGCGACTGAACCATCACAGTTGAATGTGACTACACTACCAGTAGAAGAGACTGGACTGTCCAGTAAGGACCAGCCAGCAAAGCAGTTGTTGGTGGAGGCCGTGGAATCGCAAGGTCACGAAAATGCTGGCGAACGTAAAGCGCGACAATTCGGCTTTGGATATCCGCCACCACCACCACCTTTTTATGGCGGTGGTTTTGGCGGTGGCTTCGGTGGTGGTTTTGGCGGTGGTTATGGTGGCGGCTTCCAGCGAACCCGCGTCGTTACGCGCACCCGTGTGGTGAATCGAGTACGCGGTGGCGGATTCTATGGAGGCGGAGGAGGATACTTTGGTTAAAAAAATTGTGTGTAAAAAATAAATGTGATTAAATAAAATTTCAAAAAATTTTAGTGTTGTAATGGAACACTTGGTAATTATCGGTACAAACATAATAAATGTGCTACATTGTCCTGCAAACTTCTAGCGATAGCCATTGTACATTCCACTAAAATATGTTGATTAAATAATTATGAGGAATAACTAATATGTAATTCATCTGGGGAAAGTTTTGTTAAGTATTTGTCAGTTTGGTTAGTTGTTGACCCAACCTTAAGTTCAAATTAATAAAAAATATGGTGGTTTGCATTTGTGTTGTCGAAAGAACATAATCAAATAAGGCAACTTAATATAAATTATTTTGATCAAATGCGAATAGAGTGAATCCACTGTACGAAAAATTATGAAACAATTAGTGAATAAAAGCGTAGATAACCTAACCCTGAACACTAAACAATGAATTTATCTTGGCGCGGTATCAATACCTTTTTCTAACAAATCGCTTAACGCTTATCGAAATATTCTCGCTTTATTTCATTGAGATATTTTTCTCTTACAGCGAAAGACATTATGCAAGTCGTAAAATTCTTATCTAGATGTTGGTCTACCTAAATCTAACTCAATACCTTATAGCGGTGTCAGCCAGAAGAACAGAAATCAATATTTTGGGTAATATTTGGATTTACATAAGCACCAGCATTCAGTGACAGTCGTGGAGTCATCGAAAGCTTGTCTAATATGAGTCGTCCATCCATCTCTGTTAACGAGAATAACACCGAAAAAGTTAAAAGAACAAAGCTTGAAATTATCACGTTCGCATCAGAGAAACAGCAGTGGATCTTAACATCTCTTTTGACTCGATCCAACAAATTTTTGGTAATGTTTTGAGAATGAGGCGTGACAATGGTAGCTTGTCCCAAAAAATTGAACGCGCCATCACATTCTAGCATGGTTGTGAGTGAATTTTGAGCCAAACACGAAACGAGATATATTTCTCAGCCACCGTTTTCTTCATATTTGGCTTCCTGTGATTTTTTTCAGTTTTCGAGACTTTTTAAAGTTATCTTTTTACCTAATATTTCATAGAAGCAGCAGCACATTATTGTGATAAAAATATAATAAATTAATTTCCAGAAAATCTCTCATTGGTTCACTGATATTTTATATATTATAATATTTAGTCTGTTATATATACGGAGGACTTCATATTCGATATCTGGCGACTAGAAAGGTTCACATTCAATTTCTACCATTTTTAGATAAGATTTAGTACAATTTTAAGACGGTATTTGTTCTTCATTTTATGCTCATATTTACATTAATGCTTCGTTTATCTATTTAAAGTTAGTTCGAATTTAAAATAGTGTCATATGAGAAGTTGAGATGATTGTAGTTCAATTTAAATAATTTTAAAGCTGTAACAGCCTACCAAGGGAGGTTTAACGACGTTTTGCTTGGGGCTGAATGAGTCGACTTTGTCTGTTCAACAAGTTTGGTATAAAAACAAAAAAAAAACGTCAACTTCGAATGCACCGAAGCTTATAAAAAGATCATTATAGATCTCTTTTAAAAGAAATGGTTGGGTGTAAGGTTTCAGATCGATATCTCAAAAACTGAGGGACTAGTGCGCGTTTATGTCCATGGACACCCAGACGGACATGGCTAAGTGGGCTCAGCTCGTCACTGTTTATTTATATATGTATATACTTTATAGGGTCGGCAACGTCAAATTCATAAAATAGCGATATGCTAATATCAAATGCTCAAATTTTCACTAGAAAGACATGCTTACTCATACTAATTACAATTATTTGGAATGTAATTAAAGAAAGCATTTCTTCTGTTCAATAAAATATGATATCTCTAATCTATTTAAATTTACGACCACTTAATACAATTTTTCTAAACCCTTAAACAATTAAAAATTTGTTTATATAAAATGGATGGTGTCATTTGAGCGGAGAATAGACAAACTATTTGTCAAACGTTCGCGAGATGCATGGCTAACAAAACATTGTTTTGGTTGTTTTTGGTCTTGTGTGCCATATTTCTGCTGAGTCATGCTAAAAAGTTGGATAAATAGAAGTCACTTAGGACTGAAGCACAAAACTTGTCAGTGAAAGCGAAAGAAATTAGCGTACAAATTTCATCAGACGAAGATTGTGAGTGTATACAAGCATATGTAACAGCACTCATTTCACTTATATTTAGGAATACGATTAAACCGAAATTTCTTATTTTTGCTTGTAGCTACAGAAAATATATTCGACGGAATTCACCCAAAATACTATCCAGTATTTCTCCATAAAAACACACATGAAGATTGCGTGCTGCGTCGAAATGACACCGAAGATTCTTTCAGACCACCATTCAAGGACCAAGCCCACGTTCTAAATATGGAGCCTGTAAATACCACGGTTATTTATGAACCAACTTGAGTAATGAATACAGACAATTATTGGCACGTTTATGGATTCAATGACAATGTTTGGCAATATAACCAACTCAAATAATACAATTCTTACAAGCTCAATTAAAATGGCAAATATTGGCAGAAAATTAGTATATTTGTATGAAGATTATCGTTTTCTTCGCAAAAGAAAGATGTAACAAAATTGTGTTTGTTTGTTTGTTATTTATTAGACTATGAAGAGAGTTATAAACATAACAAAATTGTACAAATCGAATATCTTAATCTTTTATTTGCTTTGATTTTAGCTTTTTTAGTTAAGATACCAATGTTTTTGGTTCATTTGTGGTTACCTAAAGCTCATGTAGAAGCTCCGGTTTCTGGATCAATAATTTTAGCTGGAATTATGTTAAAATTGGGGGGCTATGGGTTGTTACGAGTTTTTTCTTTTTTACAAGTAAGAGGAATTAAGTATAATTATTTATGAGTAAGAATTAGATTAGTTGGGGGAGTTTTAATTAGATTAGTTTGTTTACGTCAATTTTAAATATTTTTAAGAAAGACACATACAATAGTTTCACTCAAAGTATTGCCCATTTGAAGCTATATTTTCCCATTTTTCTGGCAATTTGTGGAGTCCATCCCAAAATAACTGGTGCTTGGATTCCAAGAAGGAATCAAGCCAAATTTCGATAACTTTTTCTAATATGAACTATATTCCTGTGAGGGCTTTCTGCATCGACCGGAACAAATGGTAGACAGAAGCGGCAAGATCTGGACTATGAGACGGGTGAGGTAAAACTTCTCAGTCGCGGTTTTTGAATATTTTTTAGCCTCATCTTCAAACTTTGTTGGCCGCCCAGGACGTTCTTTGCCTCCCAAGCTAGAATCATTCTAAATCGTACGAACCTCTTTTGTCACATGTTCAGAGTGTTCACCATAAACGTCAAACAAAATTTTATGACTTTCGACTGAGGTTTTCTTCATATTAAAGTAATGAAGAAGGACTGCCAGTACAAAACACATTTTTAGGAACAAAATTCGATATATTTGAGTGAAAAAAAAACAAAAAATATTGTTGTTTACTATCAAATGAAAGACGTACGAGGGTATTCGCTTTTCAACGATGTTAGAAATATTGAAACAATCGAACAATAATCAAGTTATGCCATCTACTGACTATTACGAAAAAAGCTGAATTTTTTTCATAACAAAATCTAGCAGCAAACCGCAAACCAGTTGTATTGAAGAGTTGTTCACTGACTTCGAACTATTTAGATAGTAATCAGAATTGTACCAATTTTTATGGAAATTTCATTCAGGAAGGGAGCATAGTTACATAGTTGCATAGTGAAAACATATTGAAGCAGGTAATCCATATTCAAACTGATTTTAAGAGTAAGAACTTAGACAATTGGTATTAGACTAGTATATTTCTGAGCGACATTAGAAAATCGAAATAAAAATTACGCTAGCAATTAAATAAAATCAGATTATTTGGTAAGACTTCCACGGGATGTAAAGTTTTTCTATTAATTTTCAAGAGTAAGACATGTATTCGCCATTTAAAGTTATATTGCACAAAAGAATAAGCCAAATTTAAAGAAATGGTATCTTATGTACTAGAATCCATACGCTTTGCTGAAATTCTCAATATGTCCTAATGCGTGACGCAAATCCACTGGACTCGCTGAAATAATTTGAATTCTAATTATTTGAAGTTACCTTAGTATAACAAAAGAAAACACCATTTTAAAATATTTGTCCCTTAAGAGTAATAATTGCTGCTGTGAAGTGGAAAAGGTGTTTTCACATACAATATAAATTACCTCGCATCCACTTTTCTTAGTCAATATTTAAGTTAAAACGATAGTAACTTAACTAAATTTTATCTCATCTGAGTGTATAGTTTAAATTATTGGACAAGTTTTCACCACAATTGCATTTAAAAAAGGAAATAATTAAAACCCACTACTTAAGAGGCCAGTGTAATATGAAACTAATCACTACATAAAAAATATTCGCTATGTAATAATTTAGCTTTCTAACCGCGAGCCTGCTTTCTAGCATATTTCTTAACAATCTTAGCAGATGAATAAATTCACCTTTTATCTTTTGCCATTTAGAAGAGAACTCTATGTAGGAATACTTCGAAGTATTGTAAAATACACTGGTTAGTCACCAAATTAGTTCCCTAAACTAGTTCGGCAAACCGTTAAAGTGATCATGCTTGCCAATTGAATAACTTGTTAATTATACATATATTGGATCTACTAAAAAGAAAATGATTATTTTTTTAATAGATGCATTAGTAATTGTTATCTCGGGTTCTATAAGTGCGATTGGGATATGGATTTAGAAATATAAGCATTTGTAATAAAAAATATTCTCAGACAGTTTTGTGATTGCTCGAATCAGTATTGTTTGAGCAAATATCCAATATGGTATGTCATATCTAAAATAATGAAAATCGTCGAGTTCGACCAAAATGTAAGCAGAGTTTCAATTGTTCAGGAGCTAAACTTTGCACAAAAAATCGTTTGGTATCATTTAAATAAGGCTGTATATAAAAATAAGCTCGATATATGGGTGGCCCACGAGTTAACGCAAATAAACATCATGGAGAAAATTATTGTCTGCGAATCTCAAAAAAATCGACCTATTTCTGAAGCGAACTCACTACAAACTTTTCCACTACATGGAAACTCTTAATTAAAATTTGTGCTGTCAATCATTAGACCGTCTGAAGTAGTCAATCGACGAGAAGTGGCCAGCTTTTTCAATATAAGAGGAATTGTACATCGATAGTGACTCGCCTCAAAAAAAGCTTATGAAAATCGACTGCCCCAATTAGTTTTCCAATACGGACAAGGTTTATATCTACATTACTTAAATAGGATAATTCCAACTATGTCAAATGAAGCCTTCAATATAATGCAAAAATATTTGATTTCATTTTGATAGACCCATTATTAAAACTCGATTGTGTTCTAATATGTCAAATTATACCGTTCGACATTATTATCATACCCATTAAAATGAAAATTTCTATTTTTATAACATTTTAAAACAGTATATTTTATATACATATATACATACAAAAATTATTTTACTTATTACTAATTACATACATATGTAAGTCGGGTTTCACTTGGATACTAAATAAGAAGTTTGCACTCAAAACAATTTCAGCTGAAGTCATTGCTGTCTTCTCATACACGCCTTTTACCACATTTTTCCGAAGAATGGTTTAAAGCCGCCACCAAAACCACCGCCGAGGCCCTTCAAACCGCCGAGGCCGCCAAAATCACCAAGACCGCCGAAGCTCTTCAAGCCACCAAGTCCGCCGAGTCCACCCCAACCACCGAATAAATTACCACCTAAGCCATGCCCACCACCAAGAAGCAAACCCAAACCGCGCGTAGAACGCGCCTTTCCATCGCTATCCGTGACATCCATCACAGATTGACCGGCATTTTCAATATCCAGTAGGCTTAGGGGCGCCGTTTCAGCTACATCAGCCACCTCCACAATGGGCACTTCCACCACAGCCAGAGGCGCAGCATGGGTTTGACAGGCGAAACTGGCGAAATAGACCACAAGAAGCGCGCAAATTGTTACTGATTTCATTTTGTAGTTTTTTCCAAAGCGTTTGCTTTTGTGTTATATAATATTATTTCACTAAGTTTTATGAGTTCGGGTTGGTTGCGCGCGCTCAAGACCCTGTATCACTTGTGTCGTATGCAGTTTTGTTGCTCAGAAAGTGCGTGACGGCTTTTATATGGCACTTTAGCTGTTCGCAGCCGCCGTAATTTCTGATCAATTACTTTCCTAGATCATTTCCCGGCAAATACTACCTACCGGCAGAAGTACTCAAACATAATACATAAGTACTTAAGTAGATATACAATATATGGTAAATATGCTGTACCTATTTGCATAGCAGCCGAGCTGTCAAACGCTGCAAGCATTTCTATCCATTAAATCCATGTTGCTGGCTGTCGTAGCGAGTCGTGGCACCACGTGTGTTGCGGCCAAACTCGCGCGATAATTACCAAACTAAATATTTGCGGACACACAGGCAGCAAAAATGCTCATTCATTGACGCAGCAAATAAAACTATCACTGTAGCTACTTATAAATTCGCAGTCCGCCGCTCATTGATCAGATACGCCCGTTTCCAGGGTGTTGGCAATAGACCCAGAATTGCTCAATCGGCGCAGCGTTTGAGTTGCTGATCGAATTGAGTGCAAATGGCGCTTAGTTTTTGAGTGTGTTTCGATATCATTTATTTACTGCTCATTTCACAATCGTGCTAGCGTATTTATTGTTGCTATATCTCGATGGTTAACGCGATTATCAAACTGTTATTCAGCGTTTCATTTTGATTTTCAGGTGAAGTTCATTTTATTTAGTGGCAACTTATTTACTTAGCTAGCCACGCATATTCAATAACATTATTTCTCTTTGTAATAAATTATCGCTCCCTGAGATTTTTCGTTTGAATGGGCACATGTGCACACAGAACTTTTAAATAGTTACTGGTTGATGAAGTACACGTGACCTTGCTCGAATATGTTTTATTGATGAAGTTTACTTATTTGCGGAATTCGCAACGCATTAATTGCGTTTCAAATATTTTATTTTTATACACACATCTGCAAAAACATGCAGCAACATTTGTCGCAAAATGTTTGTAATATTTTCATCTGTCTGCAAATTTCTTAGAAAAATGTTGCCTATGAAGTTAATAATCGTTATTACTACCTTGCCTACTTAGTTCCATTGAAATATCTCACTTATTACCATTGAAATCAAATGGACTGTTCGAAACCAATATATTGTGTATATAAGGGCCAGTGAAAGGTAAAAAAAAACATTGTCATAAATCGTTTCTAGAAATAGGTATATCTTACCGATCTATCTATGGTGTTAAGTTTATTTCTATTTCATTCAGCATGTGGAATCTAGAATAATATTTTGATCGGTTTTATGCATATTTGGTCGTACATCACATCATATCAAAATAAAACAAGGGCATAAAGTCAACCGAAGATAAGGTGAAATGCAAGTAAACGCTGTCACCCTCCTTTAAAAATATTTGTGCTGGGTTCTATCTCGATATCTTTATTGAAGTCTGGGTCGTACATTGTAAACAAAAATGAGCTGATAGGATTAAAAAAAAAAAAACACAAAAAAAGGAAGGAATACTGTTAGAAGTACAGAAGTTCATAAGAAGGTTATTTGAATCTTGCAAATCAAATTAAGTTGCACAATTGTTGAATGGATCAACATGGAAGCTTACTGTAAAAACATTGTTACTGACATTATCCGTTAGGCAGACTTACTTTATTGGTAATTGTTAAAAGTCTGGTGTATTTTGTTTCTAAGATATGTACTTTAATTATATTATATTGGAGAACGGAACCATAGCGCAGGGTGAAACATAATGGAACTACATAATAGAAACTAGGGTTGTAACCTGTGAACCATTTTGTAACTTTTTATGAGCCCAGAGAGCGAAGCTATGTCGCGTGGGAAGATTGATCGGCTTTAGTTCTTGCACAGCTGTATTTTATACGCTTTAAAATTAAGATATCGACGTAAAATGCATCAAGTTGTTCCATACGTCAGTCCGAATTGCTGCGAACGGCGCCGAATTGACTCTCCACGGTCTTCGAGTAGACCCTCAGCAACGGCCGCAATATTTTCTTCAATGCGTGCTGGACGTGATCAAATCGGTCGAATATTATTCAATAATGAAAGCTGGGTCTCAAGATGGATGACGGTGTTGCGAATAGTGCGCTCAGTAGAGCGTGTATGTTGTCCATAAGTTGAGCGAAGCGCGCGAAACACAGAAAAGGCTATTTAAAAAGTACCTCTACTTGGATCACCCGTTACATACGTATGTGTGAATGTAGTGCGCTCGAAAAAGATTTTGTACATGTTTTTCAATGAAAGCAGTGAACAAGGTGATATCTGAATTATCTCCAAATATTTAAACCAAAATTATTCAGCGTTTATGTAAACGGTGACAATGTGTGTATTAAAAATTGGACAGAACCTTAACGGTATTACTCACAAATAAATGAATTTCTGAAGTAGAATATGATATGAAATAACTTTATTTTAACGTGAATTTTAACTAACTATATCATTAATTTTTATACCATGAAAAAGGTAGATTATATTTGTCACGATATTTATAACACGAAGAAAAACGTCCGTCGGAGTATCTATAAAAAATATATTTAAATGGCCAATTTGATCTTCTGTGCGCCTCTCTGTATATACACGAAGTAGTCTCCCGTTTTAGAGATATCGATCTGAGGTATTGTACACGTCCTTTTCCCCTAATAATTTGACAGGGTTGTCTAAGTATGGTGTAATAATATTTGATGAAACTACTCAGACCGGATGACTATAACATAGCATATAGCTGCCGTACAAACTGAACGATCAAAATCAAAATAAAGGTGTTTTTTAATCCGTTTATGCTATAAAAAATGCACCTGTTACACCTGGATATTACAATATTAGTGCATCCGAAGTTAACGTTTTTTTATTGGTTTTCCATTATTTCGAGGCTTACTATATTCAATGATGAAATAAATATTGGATATGAGTGGATTGTCATGTTGTAATGTCAGCTCTACCTACATGTGCGAAAAAATGCTTCATAAAATAACCTCCTAAATAAATTATAAAAATAAACAGTAACAGTCAAAATGTAATAAGTATATACATTTTATGAAGTAAAGTCGTAATTTAATTGACTAAACTTGTTTAAATAAACAAAATTGGTATATATTTTCTAATCAATTTATCAAAAAAATATACTTAAGTTAAGTTTAAATTTTATAATTAAGTTTCAACAATAAATAATTATAATTTTCGATATTATAATTATTCTTATAACAAACTAACTACCACATAATTAATACAAAAATTTAATTATCACTACAACACAACTCATACAGAAACACTATCTATTAGGTTAATTATTTAGCGTATGTGATTACGTTTTCTTCTGAATTGCGTTTTTGAGCGATTTAAACTCGACTTGCGGTTATTTCTCGACCTGTACTCCGCATGAGCGATTGCATTCCAATCGTTTTCGGCTGCCAACGCGCCACTGCGACGTTCGCCAAAATTACCCGAACTTTCTGCATGATGCTTTTCATCACGCAATATACCGCTTGCTGCGCGATTCGAGTCGATGAAGTGTTGTTGGAATTCGTAAAAGCGATTATTCAATTGGATTTCATTATTTCCACCGGCCGCAGCGGGAAATGTGGCAAACTGTCGGGGGCGACGTATATTATCTTTGACGAAGGCGCGTGACCAAATGACCGGATCCAAGCTGGCGTCATAACGTTCATGATCGGCTTGCCAGGGATATGCCTCAGCCGAAGTGATGTAATTGAAATAAAACAAAACAATAAATGTCATAAGCGTGCACTTTAATTCATATGACATCGCTAATTAATGCAAAATGATTGGCAGCGAATTTCGTTAGAAGTTTTGCGAGAACACACGTCAAATTGTTTACGATTTTTGATTTATTTTTGATTTTTGCTTGAAAAATTTGAATCTTGTGCTATTTGGAACAACTTGTGTTGTGAAGAAACCGTGCGCTTACCTTGCGGTTTTGTAGGAAACTGTTACATTTCCAACTGCCGGCCAGTATTCTTATATAATACATATTCGCATACAAAAGATACCATACGCATGAGTCTGTATGTATGTATGTATGTACTGTGTACGAAGGGAGTTAATGAAAATTCCGGTCTTACTGGCTACAAATTTACTGAAAATAGAATCCAAAACCCTGTTGTTCTATTTACTTTACAGCGCTGTTTGCTTTCATCATGTTCAAACTACCTGCGCGTGCGCATGCGCTGTTCTTTTCTTACACTTATTTTATTGCACCTTAAGGCAGGTAAGTGCCTATACCCGAGCGTGGCGCGCATTTATTGCATCGTTAGAACATTTCAATAATCAAATAGTCGTAAATATACCCGATGAGCGACATCTGTGTGCGACACAGTGTTGTGTTTGGAGATTTATGACTTTTCCCATTCGGATTAAGTTATTTAAGCAGTGCGGCAATCTAATCCTTATCCTGCCGCAGACGTACGTTGAAGAGATCATGTAACTGTGATAATATTTTATAGTAAAGCAAAATATTTATGACTTTATATGAATACCCTAGGAGAATAAGTAGTCGAATGCATTCGTTTCATCGCTAAACCATAACACTCGAGTCAAAATCTCGAGTCAAAATCTACATAAATCTACTGCTACCAGGTGTAGTTGTTGTTTTCTAACATATCTGAGAAAAGAAAATTCTTTACATTTCGTTTTTATCACCAACTGTTCTCCATGAGCTTCGCTGACCAGCGGTTGTTGCTGAAACAGTTGAAGTGGTTTCGGTTAGCTGCAATTAGTAACTCAGCAAACCGGTGTCACCAGCCAGCAGACTCATGAGTGTCAAATGGCACACAAGTTAGTTCGAAATATGACGTCTTTAATGAATTATAGCACGCTCTGTGGCGATGTTAGTTCCGTAGAGTGTGATAACTACACTGAAACAAATTGTTGGTACCTTAAGGTGAAAGAATATTTTAACGAAAAGCTATTGTTTTGTTAGGGTCCCCCCTGCGGGTAGGGGTTAGAATTTACCGGTAAGGCATGCCTGTCGTAAGAGGCGACTAAAAGCCAAAATCACTAAGACTGTTATTTTATTTTGCCTAGAAATGTCAGCATAGTATTGAGTAATGGGTAGCTCAACTGGCAGTAGCTTCGGCTACACAGTCTTACCAGAGACTCAACTCTGGTACCACGGGGAGCAGAATGCCCTTGGACTTCGGTTCAATCTGCTCATTGGGTTCGGCCCCTTGGGGAGTAGCGTGGTTTCTGTGGTTTAAACCTAAATGCTGGAAGAAATGAATTTTCAGTTCAAAAAAAGAAGTTGCACAAGCAAATGGGTTCCGTACCCATTCCTACCAAGATGGTCAGTGTGCCCCTACACACTGGCCACTGGTAACCAAATAAATACTTGCAAATAGCTCGTATTATTTGGGGCGCTGATCAACGCATTGTTTTGATACGATGTGCTTTGGAGCACCGTGAGGTAAGGCCGTCGCCGGCAGGTACTCACGTAAAACACACCGGGCGTTGTTTTGTTAGGGTAACTTTTATTAGTTCAGGAAGTTTATTAGTGAAGGGAAGTTAAAATAATAATTTTGTCTTTTTTTCATTGTGTATACATATATTTACATTATCAAACAATTTACCATTTATATATGTTAAGTAAAACAGGTTATAGAAATATTATATCTGAAGATCGTCCAATTATTTCGAAATTCTGGCAGTTCTTGGGCGAGTTGATGCACTTTCGGTCTATATATATAAATAAGTATGTCATTATTTCATTAGAAGATCTTGCAATAGTAAAACTAAAAGCCGTGACTAGTGGCAGGCAGTATCAATTATCAGTTCTAGATATCTAAGAATAGTCAATAGGCTAATTTTTATCGTAATGCCTGTATGATAACTCTCTGTTTAAAGTTGTTATTGCCAGAGTAACTTTGCTCAAAAGAGCGTACTGAGAAACTATACGTTCAAATAATGGCAATAGTTTCTTCAGAACAAAATCCGTTGGCCAGACATTAGACATGTGCTATATCTTGAAGAATATATCAGAAAATCGATTATAATTATATTTCTCGACTTTAAACGACTTTCGACAACACAGATATTGTCTTTATATAGAAAATTGACGGGAGAAAAATGGATCTGGTATTGAACGAAGATTTGTTAAAGTTACTTTTATCATAAAGTAAACTATCCGCGCAGTTGCATTTTAGCTCATTTGACACCTTTGGTTATCAATATTAATTTCAATAATGAAATTTTATTTAATTTTACTGTAACAATAAATATTTAGGTACAGCTTATACAAGATAGGAGAAAAAAATATATGGTATAGGAGTATTTATAAACTCAAAGGTCGGTTGTTTTTAAGGAAAATAATGATGTTATTTATTCGTGTTGTTTATATACAATAAGAAATGAATACAGAGCGTATCCATGGAGCTAATTTAATTGGAGGATTAATAAAAGTATTTAGTAGAGAAAGGAATTAAAAAATCTGCAATTGAAAATGTGCAAATGAAATTAAAATCATTAACCCTTTTTTTAAGAAATTAGTATATGGGAATAAGAGAGCGAATTAATTATTATTAACTTAGTTACATTCATAGTGAAATCGGCGCAGTCCAAATTTATGCAAATGAAGAAAATTCAAACGTTTTCAAAATACATGGCAAATACCATATAAAAAATTATAATATCATTCTGCTTATAACAATTAGTGCCAATAAGGGGTGACACACATTGAAAAAAAACCATACACTGAAACTTAACATTTACTCACAAATATTTAAAAACTCTAAATAAATATGAGTTTCATTTTAAATTTAGAAATTTAGATTTGACGCTTAGATTTAATATTTATCGGTTCCAGGGAATAACTTTTACGACCGACTTAAAGAGATTCTCACATTTTTTCAGAATATCGTCTTTTATAGTCTACAAACCGAGCTTTTCCTCTTAACGTAAAATTAAACACAAAATTGAAGACAACTGATTTTATGCATTGGTTAAAGTAGAGGAAATTATAGCTTTGATCTGTTTGCTCGAATATTTTTGAAATGAAAAATATAAGTTTGTAAATTTGCATTAGCAACACACTTGTTTCATATATCCTTAAGTGACTTATTAACATACTTTGCGACTTTAGAAAGCACCGCCTGAATTCTATATGGTCTACTTTCTTTCTTAACAACCTCAGTGAGGAGGAAGAATAAATACTTATGGTTCACAGTCAAATAACACTTTTGTTATATTATTATTGTTTGTCTGTAAATACCAGAATATAATATCGAAATGGGTATACTTCCATATGATATTTCAAATATTCTTTACTAGAGAAGAAATATCTTTCAGTTTTTGATGAGCTCCATAAATTGCTACCAAGCGGATAGCGGTACAAAAGCGCGAGATAGTATGCATGTGAAAGCTGGGCTTGGAAGTATTGGTGTTGACTAGATGTGATTCGAAGAAAGTCGAAACAGTTTGATCAATCGCATAGGACCGTTTTCTGATATTTATAAGGTGTAGAATTTATCGACTACTTGGAGTACGGCAAAAGGGTTATAGAGTTCTTCTACGACTTAATTATTGTGCTTATTCAATGCCGAATTGCAGAAAAAAAAACATTTGGCGAGCAAAACAATGTGCTTATCCACTGTGACAAGGCATCTTGGCATAATTTGTGATAAGGATGTCGAATGGTAGTTTGAGGACTAACTCGTTTAATAAACTAATCAGTGTCGGATGGTTACTAAATTGCATCTCTAATAATCCTACAATATAAAACATGTCAATGGTACTGACACAACTAAACAGAGCGATCAAAATGAGCCATGAAACCTTCCCTCATGATATCGAAAATATATCAAGGACAGAATTAAGTATCAGAACTTGTGCAAAAAATTCTGCATGAGTTTGAGAAGCAGTAACATACGTAGTAACTATAGAATGATTATAAGCTGCAAAATTACTTAAATTTTAAGAAGAATACGTTAGCAAAAAATTATTTGGAAATTGACAATAATTTTACATCCACAACTTTGAAACCTCAGGCAGGGGCAGGGAATCGAATGAACTAAAACGGAATATAAGTGAAGTGGTTCATACAAGTATATACTACGAAGACACTAACTTCGGGTTTTGTGAAAGTCTTTACATATCAGTTTCTTGCCGGATAACTATTTTGTCAATGCTAATCGGCACAACTTTTCGTGACAAGTGTTTTTTCAAATTTATAAATAAAAAAACAAGAAAAAACTTTAACTTCAGCTCAACATAGCTACAATAGCCTTCACAGGTGTACTTTTCATAGCATCAAATAATATAAAAAGATCTTTATATTGTTGCTGCAGCTGTATGCTATGGTGATCCGATCTGATCAATATGTTCAGAGATCGGAGAGATACCTCAAGTAATAATTTATGACAAATTTCGTAAAGATACCTTGTCAATTGAAAATGTTTTTCATACAAAAACATGATTTTGATCGTCCAGTTTATATGACAGCTTAATGCTACAGTTATCCGATGTCCGCGCTTCCGACAAATGAACAGCTCCTTTGTGAGAAAAGAAGCTCCATTGTAAAATAATTCCAGATCCATATCTCCAAAACTGAGGGACTAACTCGCGTATATAGAGACGGACGGACAAACAGGCGTTCATGGCTAAATCGACTCAGCGCGTACCGCTAATCAATTATATATGGTACGTATGCATACATTTTATAGGATCACCCAAGTTTATTTCTGAGTGTTACAAACTTCGTGACAAACTTAATATACCGTGTTCAGGGTATGAAAATCAGTAAGTGACAATAATTGTTCACAAAAGCAATATCGGATCTTACAATACTACTGTATTCAGTACTACCTGTACTACTTTCAGGTCAGAAAGTGCAAAAGATGAGGATGTCCATAGCACGGATTTCGGAGTTGTTTTTTTTTCTGCATAAAGTGCTCTATTAAAATCGTAGAACCATCAGGACAAAACAGGTTGGAACCAATGATAAGAGGTTAAATAGTTCGAGGAATGATGACATTTCTGGCGACACCTTGAATAGACATCAGATGGGACAGCGTATGTGGCAGATATAACGGAAAAATATTTGTGTTTTCTCACGCTCACATGAAAAACCGTATAACACATGAGTTCTAAAGCCAAAAGAAGTAGTAGAACCAAAAGATTTGATCCGTTATGCTAATAAGAGCTCATAAAAATTATTTGTTTTGCGAATAACGTTAAGCTACCCATTTCTAAAAACCAGCACTGGATTAAAAAAATTAAAAACTAGTTTTCCGCTTTGAACGTTAGAATTTTCCGGTTTAAGATGGAATGAATTGTTAAATAACAGTGAAATTTTAAACTGGTTGCTTTGCTAGATGCAAATAATAAGAGCTGAACTCGGCGGGGTGTATAAAGCAGGCGTCGAATCATGCAATAAGCATTAATATATGCAAGCAACACACGCAACATTGTGTCGAAGTTGTTGTTAAGCAAATTCAGCATTGCCATTGACATTCGCGTTGATGTGGGCTTTGAATTATGTAAGAAAGAGAAAAAATTGGCTACAACGAGAAAGACAAGAAGTGCAGAAAGCCACAGGCAAATATCATGCTTGCAACATGTTGTTGTGTATCTATGAGTACATATGTAGGTCAACTGATGCGCCGGTGGTAAGGTGGTGAATCCTGTTAGGCTGCAGAAGAATTTGGCAGAGTATAAAAGCGCTTGCAACATGCCACAAGGCCAACAGTACGCGCTGCGTCCACATTCGAATCACTTGCAACATATTTTTTTGTTGTTACCACATTCTCGGCTATAAAATGAAGTTTATTTATTTGGTATTTCTGTTGCTGCTTGTCTTAGAAGCGCGTTCAGCTGTCTTCCATCGACGTTACATACGCCAAACAGGACGCTATGGCACCTCAGGTGGTTATCGACCTAATCTCGCCTACAGCAACAGCAATCAGGGCGGCGTCAGCGCTAATGGCGGTGGCTTTAGCACTAGCGGAAATGGCTATGGCAGCGGTAATGTGAAAGTGAGTGGCAACGGCAATGGAAATGTGCGTCTGGCCTATGCACCCGCCGGTAGCGCCATGGCCACGAGGCCATACAGCGGCATTGGTGGCTTCAAGTATGGCGGACGTCCATCGGCGGGCAGTGATTTCGTGGTGAATGCGTTAGGCGCTGCTGGTGCTGGACCCAGCGGCGCATACTCAGCCAATCATCCGCAGGCAGTATACAAAAATGTGGCCGGCAGCGCTGGACGTCCGCAAGCGAATACGCTTTATCGCGTCGGACCAGGCGGCGCGTTGGCGAGCGCTGGCAGACCAGTAGGCGGTGGTGGTAGCTACCAAAGTGGCTAATATGGTTTTGATGTGTGGTAAATAGGAAAAAGAGTTGTTTTGTAAAAAATATATTATATTTGATTATATATAAATTATTTTGCGTATAAAAGGTTTGAAAATAAAACTAAGGCTTCATAAATAAATTAAATATTATATATAAGTAAATGTTAATTTTCTACGTCGCACTTCGACTCTTCTACAACAGTTGATAGCCTTGGAAACCCTGTCCATATCCACCCATTTGTCCGAAAACTGCCGACGGGATTGGATATGCTGCACCTAACTGTGGCAGCGGCTGCGAAGCTTGGCCTTGTAGCTGCAATTGTGTTGGTGATGGCACCTGATTGCCGTTGCCGTTAACACCTTGCAGATTGGCCATATTCACGAGATTATCCAAACTATTAGCGCCGGCTACCATTGGTCCGAAATTGTTTTGCAATTGAGGTAAGCCACCGAACATATAGTTAGCGAACATATCGGGTCCATTGAATTGGTAAGGTGGCAAATTGTTACCCACATAGTTGCCTGTGACTGGATAGCTTAAACCAGCGAGATTTCCTAGTTGTAATGTGTTCACACCAGGCATGACACCATTAGGACCAGCGGCTGCGCTGGGCGCACTACCACCAAATGGCAGGCCTATAAGACCAACACCTGGTGCGCCGGAATAACCGCTGCCGCCATAAGCGAGTCCGCCATAACGTGCGTATGGCATGGCGCCGACAACTCCACCGAAACCAGCCAATCCTTGTGGCTGAGTCAAGACCGATGCTCCTTCATTCAGTAACTGTTCACTTAAAGATTTCACCTCCGCTTGTGTTGCGCCACCGCTATTGGGTCCCTTCGTTTGACGCGTCGTACGCACGTCGGCTGGTTTGGCCTCAACGACGTGGTTTAGTGTGAAAACACCGATGCAAAGGAGAATGACTGCAATTTTCTGGTTGTGCTGCATGTTGCTTTCTTCAAGGCTGCGTAACGTTCACTGTGCTTAGCTCAGGCGTCGTTTTGGCTATTTATTGTGCTGAAAGATCTCTTAGCTCACATTTCTTTTGAATTTTCGCTTGTAAAACTTTCTTCAAGCCCACTCTTTGCATCAGCTACTGCTAATCCCATTTTATCGAGTGAAACTAAGCTGTTATAAAAGTAAAATGTTTTCTTCCTTTCTTCTGTGTATTCATCGTGCACTTCTTTCTTCCAACCTTACTTAAATAGCTGCTTACGAAGTGTGGCTTACTTGCTTACTCAACGCTTGAAAACGAAAAGTTTTGTAATCGTTTTATAAACAATTCACACCTCACGTCTAATGGCTGCGGCAACAAGGTGCCAATTGATTTGGCCCTCATTTTGTGGGGCATCTCTTTTGGAAACCAAATTTTATTTCCTCCATTGCCGAATAGAGTGGTAATAAATACATTTTTATGTAGTCAATGAAAATGTTTAACTGCGGAATGGTAATCTTAGTGTTTTTTATAAGTACTTGGGCTACTATTAAGCAGAACTCTGACGTGTGAGGGTTCTTTACAAAAAAAAAAAAAAACAAAAAAAAAATTCACTCTAAATTTAAGGTACAAATACATTTTATTATATGAAAATTAAGCATAGACGCAAGTTGAATTAATCTAATTTTCTGACGCTGCATTTTATGGCTTTCGTTTGGAAGATGTTGAAAAAACTGCATTTAAAGCTATAATATAATATATAGTATAGTATCTGATTTGCATACCTTATTTCAATTGCAACTGAGACTATAAAAAATAAGAAGACTATACAATCATACTAGGCTTCCGAATCGTATTGTTCTTTCTTCATCTTTGTTATCAGGTGCATAGCAATCTCTATTGCGCTGTCTCTATTGTGTAAAGTAGCAGATTTCAAATATTTTTGGTATTTAATACGCCTATGTTTTTTAAGCGAGTAGCAACATATCACTCAACTTAGATAATAATTTAACTTTATTTTTATAATAAATATTGAATTTATATAATACCCTTATAAATGGTCTATATATAGTATAGCTTAATTTGTTTAAAAAAAATTATTTAACATATAATATAAGTAATTTCCCTATCTATAACTCGAATTGAAAATAAATTTTAATTAAAGAAGACCTCAGCGTTTAAGTTTACTCAAAATCAGTCTCAACTAACACAATATTGTAGGTCAGTTATTATTTTATTACTAAGCCAATACCTTATTCCATGATATGCAACAAAGGATGAGGAAAAGTTTGAGTATGAGTAATCATAAATCACGTACGAATTTTTGGTTTTGTTTGTTAGCGAGTTTTGGTTTTTACAGCTCAGGAGGAGTTGAAAATTAGTTGCTCATGTGTATAAAGGACATCAAAATCTTAAGTTTCCACATGAAATCCTGCAATATTCAGTGTGTTCAAAAAATAACGGTTTAGTTTTCCAAAGTGCTACCTACCTATATCTATACTACGATATTGGGAAAAATATTGTAATTATAGAAAACATTTGTTTTGTTACAGCTAACGGTTATTCGACACTTGCTCCAATTTCCCATCTATTGTAGCCTGACATCTTTGATGGCAACTTGCAGTTAAACTTTCCGTGTAATCTACCAGAAGCGATCTCCAGGTATGTTGGAGTAGCCGAATGAAATGTTATAATTACATTAAATGCTTTCTTGATATTTTGGCTTTCAATAAATCCCCAACATTTACTATTGGATTGGCGTCTGGTGACTGTGATGGCCAATCTAAAGTCACAATATGAATTTCTTGTATCCATTGAGTAAAGAGTCTGCTCCTATGTTTCGGATCTTTTTCTTCTTGCAGTATCCAACAATGGTTATTTTTGTCGTTAAACATTTCAGCTGACTTCAGTAAATCTTTTTTATACAATTTTAAATCTAACGGTGTACAGGTTTTCTGTGAAGCACCATAAAACCCCATATCCGCCCCATGAGCAGAGAAGCATCTATCCTTTTCTTAGTCAAAGAGCTGTAAAGGAGTTGAACAATATAAATGCGAGCACTCGTTTTCCGTGTTTCACGGTACGACATGACACTGTATATTGCTTATCCAAATAACCAAAAATTTGATGTCTTCGTCGTAATTATGATAAATAAAAAATATGGTTCAGTATTCAGAGTCAAGTTATATTAGGGACTTAAATCCCATTAGTTTTGTAATAGTTTACAAAAAGTAGAAACTATGTTTGTCGAACTCGGTTTTGTGGACATGTTCATAGTCCGATTTCATTCATTTGCAATGACAATTGACCAGGAAACGTTCATTTGAAGTTTACTGATATTACCATTGCTTACAGCACAAACCTATATATTATATATAAATTTTGAATGAAAAATTTATTATGTGCCATGTTAATGTTTCTATATACATATGTACAATATATATAAAATGATTTTGAAAACATTCATATTCTTCCGTGCATATGTAATATGCATGCTAGTAAAATTTGTTTAAAAAAAACGCTCCTAAAACTATACAAGCTAAATGTGGTTATTATCATATCGGTTTTGTACGCAGCCTAAAAGTATGCTACAGTAGAAAACGTTTCTTTGTACTTCCGCTCATTGTCCGTGCATGCACTGTTCGCTTCATTAATTAGTTGAATTTATTTTAAATGCTACTGCTGATTTTTAAGTAGAAATTTGCTTCATAGGAAATTACTGAAATAAACTTCAGCTGTAAGTAGTAATCGACCAATCTTTTAAGAAAATGATAAAAAAACCGTAATTTGAAATTAATTCATTCATTTAGGTAGACATATAGTACATACTTATGTAAACCACTCATACAAAAATACAATTCTGAATTAGCTTTTTTTCTTATAATCTGCAAACAAATTAAATAATATATAATAAATTTACTAGAATCTTTCCTCGCCATCAATACTCATCTCATGAGAATTTCTGAAGTAATGGCAAGTTTGTGTCTTAAGTCTTTAGTACATGTCTTATTATTACATTTTAAATATGCATGTGGCATGCAATTTTTTCTCAGCTTTGTTTGTAATAATATTTTATTTATTAAATTCTAATTACTAATTTATTTCCAGTTTTAGTCGAATTAATATTATGAGTTCACCGAGTGGAAATAAATGCGTGCGCACAATATTGTTTGTGATAAGAGGAACTAGCGGATGATTTTTACATGATATTTACAATCAATACAATCTTAAATAAAATAATTTAATTTAATATGTTCCCAAATAAAATCTCGTGGTATTTTAAATATTAAATATTATTTTTTTTAATACGTTTGGTGTGAAATATTTATTAATTTTTTAAAGGATTGCAGAAAAAATATTTTATTAGTCAACATACTTATCCTTGTTATCTTCCTACGTCAGTTCTTCCCATTTTTCTTAACTAAGTCACTGGCTGATTAATGGCTATAATAATTACCCAACGATTAATCTCTTCACTCCCAACCGACGCGAGGGCGCAATTCGCATGTGTGTGGAATTGGCAGAGTCATGACAGGCAACAGAGTTTTTAGAAAGAGAAAGCAATATAGCCTTTCAAATGTTTAAAAGTATTTCAGATAAATCAAATGTGCAGGAATCATAATTAAAGTCGTGACATATGCGGCGGAAAGGTTTGTTAAGTTTGAAATTTAGTCTACAAGTTGTAACAGTCCAACCTGGCTCCAAAAACGAGCCGGAATATCTACCTTTTCATTTCCTAGGGTTCCATACTAGAAAGGGTTAATTAAAGTTGTAAAAAGAGCACAACATACGGATCTCTAAATTTTTTTACCCAGCGTTTAACAAAATTATATACACATTTCGCTTTCCTAACCATGGCATCAATATAAAGACTAAAATTAAGCTTAGGGTCCATAGTAACTCCTAAACCAACAAATTTAAAAAGTGCTCTAGAGCACAGTTTTGTTTGAGCATCTGGTCGCAAAACATGATATAAAAGAAGAAAGGATTGTGTGGTTTTATGAAACCACAGAAAAAGTGATAATTTTTTTCACATTAAAGACATTTAACTAAAAATCATCAATCTTAATTTTATACTTGGAAAATGGGAATGATAATGGGAAATGATAAAAGTACTTAACAATTATTTAGATGATATACACTTAATAAAAAGTTTCACTTTAAAAACTGATATATTTTTTAATATTTTTTGACCGTTGAATAATTTTGACCCGTTTTTCAATTATTATCAATCATTCTATTATCAATGTCATCTTCATAATGAGTTTCACAGTTAATAAATGTAGCCAATATTTTGTGGTAACTAAAATAAAAAAATAGCAGAATTGAGCATTTTCACTGTTAAATGAGAAAACTAATGCTAATTCCAGTTTATTTACAATGCGCAAACAACTCTGCATATAATTAATAGATAATTTGTAAATATTTGGTAGCACAGGACATAAGTATATAGTACATATCTATGTTCAAATTTCCTTTGAAATATTATTGTCATTAAAAGTTTTGATAACATATATATGTATATAATATTGTGTGCATGTAAAAAAATATGAAAAAACGCATAATGTTTGTATATCTGTCTACATGCAACATATGTACACAAATTGCTTGATGAGAAGTCTCCATTGACACGGACAACCAATTGCCGAAGCTCACGCTCTTTGCGTTCATATCAAAGAGCCAGTGTGTCGAAGGACTGATCCGACGACAAAGCGTCACAACATTGTGTTTTCGGGCTGTGTCGAAAAAAACAAACGAACGATCGCCGATTGTCAGCGCTTCCATTGTCGCTCTAACAGCTTTGCCAATAAACCATCGTAAATATGTATGTCTATGTATTGTGGTTTTTGTAGAACAATGTTTGTAAATTTTGCGGGATATAATATCTAAATGTGTACGTATATGTGTATGTAGGTTTAATAAAAGTTGCACTTTAAAAATTACTTAATTAATATCGAAATACCACATGAATAGAATTTTCGCCAAACCCTTTGTATTTGAAATTTCCGAGTGC